AAGCTGATATTTTTATATGTACAGTCAAAACCAAAGTGTAATGTTGACAAAATGAAATGAGATCAACAAGAATAGGGTGGGCTTTTCTAAAATTCAGGCTGTGTATATGTGTAGAGAAGGAACATTTATTGCAATTGACTGTTGCCTAAGGAGAGATCCCCAGTTGAAAACTCTGCCATGCTGCTTTCATGATCAAAGCACATATGCATACACCCACAGAAACACACACACACTTATCAACCCCTGGGCCTTTGGGAGTGAAGCCTTGGCAGGGTCTGATGAACTGCAGCATTGTTAGTGATGATTTCAGGTGTCCACTTTCTCTCCCCTGCCCTCCCTTCTACCCCAGATGTTGTGGCAAGTTCCTTGAAAGGGTAAAAGAGGTCATAAGAGCTTCTTACACACACTTCAGAGAACTACAACTGCAGCTTAAGACACATGTACACACACATACACACTCATCTGAGTCATCTAGCTCATGTGAAACTGCACTCCAAATTCATACACATGACCGGGTACCAAAACTAAAGTTGTCTGTCAGTGGTGTGAAAGCGGTGGCGAGATGAATCCTTGCATGTGCATGTGTGTGGGTGTGTGTGTACCAAAAGCAACACAGGTGCAGTCAGGGACACTGAGGAAGAAACGGGCCCTGCCCTTTGAACTGGGTCTTGAAAGAAAAGCTGTTTTCCCTTCCTGTCAAATAAGCTTAACTGCTATGCCTCCGAGCTTGAGTCAGCATAAACTGGTCTGGCAGAGAGCCTGAGCCATTCTTTTATTCAACAAAAGCAAAAGTTTTCATTCCACGCTTGTCTGAAATAACTTCCAGTGACAGTTATTATCAGCAGTGATTTATGTTGAAGCCATTCTTTTTATGAATGTGGCTATTTAGTTTTTAAAATGTGATTTGTTTACAGTAATCCATTTCACTGTTGCTATGCAAAATGATGGTGATAGTCCAGGTAAAGATTATACATTTATCAACACATCCAAATTTTGTTTCTTTGGCAGGGAGTATCTGCCCAATTTACACTGTATCCTTCAGCGTGTATCAGGTAGACTCCAGGCCTGTGGGGATTTATCTCCAGACCTCCAGAGATGCACCGTCGGTTCAAGGTTAGGACATGCTTTTTCTCTGCCCAAACCTATTTTTCCCTTGCTGTTCAGTTAGTGATGTGATCTAATCAATGTTGGGCTGTAATGCGTTACTGTAATAATATTACTTTCACCAGAAACAAGTAGTGTAAAAAGTAACAAATACAATTTCAGTAATAATATTACAGCTACTACAAAAATGACTCATTACAACATTACTTTGGTTGTCACCACAGCAAAGATTGATCAGAAGTCCAACATTTAATATTTGTAGTCATCACATGTGCACAAGTCACTGCATGTCATTTAGCAGCACCATAATAAGCAGTAAGCTAGGTTAGAAGATGGAAGTGCCTCTGTTCAGTGGCTGGAAATACTTTGATTTTATTGGGATGAAAGCTGATGAGAACATTATTGTAAAATGTAAATTGTGTGCAGGTAGCGGTAAGACGCTTTCCACTGCGAAAAACACAACCTCAAAACTCGTGAAACACTTATTAAGACAGCTAAACAATGTGAAGCTTGTGGAGATACACCCCAACAAAGATGAGCCCTCTGTGGCCGCGGAGGATGGGCTGCACGTTGGAAGAAGGATAGAAAATGAAACAGTAGGAAAGTGAACATCTGGCTTCACAACTTTAGATACTTTCACACAGCAGTGATGAGAGTTTTCTTCACTTAAAGTGTAGACCAAGGAGAGGAGGAGGAGGAGGAGGAGGAGGGAAGTCTGAGAGGCTTTAAGTGGGGCCTGAGTAGTTCCTTTATCAGCCCACTGATAGGAGACGTCTCTGTGTATCAGGTCTGCTCAATGTGCTCCTTGTCTCTGTTTATCAGAGCTAATTAAAACATTTGGATTCCTCCAACCGGCTCTGGAGGAGTGTGTGTCTGTGTGATCATGTGTGGGAGACATGAGAGCGGAGAGGAGTCAGAGGAAGGAAACAAAGCAGTTTGAAAGCTTCCCTGCCCATCTATGGACAGAGAAGCTCAAAGAGTGCTCGCTGCAGATACACACACTGTAGAGATGCAATACTTTTATGTTTCCAGTTTTGTTTCCTGAACTTCCTGTCTTTTTTCCTCTCCATTAATTAAATTCAGTATTCATTGTATATGTTACTGGAACAGTTTTCAAAAGTGTGAAACGATTATGAACGCTCCTTACATGATGAAGGTTTTGGCTATTTGTTTTTTGGCCTTACTTACTTTTCTAGTCTAACTTTCCACTCCCTCCTCAGTCTTATCTCTATGCTTTTCCTTAATCCTCTTCCAAATACACTCAAAGTCTCAGCTGTGAGCATCCTGTGCCAGCTCCTAATGCATGAACACAACACACACACACAGATAAACATACGCCGTGTGCTTTGTCTCTGAAAATGAGGCTACTCTTTGTAAGTTCTGGGTGGGCTCATTTCTCTAACCTTTCTAATCCTCGTCACGACCTCAGCCCCTGCTCCTACTCGTATAAGCACAAACCTGGGATGATGCACTGTTACTCTGGTAACACAAACAGAAACTTTTTTTTTTTTTTTTTTACAATGCAGCATGATCACACAATCATGAACTTATCAGCACGCCAACCTAACAATATGGGCTGGTTCAAATTGTGCTCAAATGTGTGAAACCCAGGGGCAAGTGAGGGCTGATGTGGTTGCTGTGTGATGGATGTGTCTTCCTCAGGGGAAGCTGATGTCTTATAGCTTTACTGTAAATGTTTACATTCCGACATGCACTAATGCTGTCTGCTAATAGTTTCTGGAACAAGCCTGAAGAGTCTGCTGGGTGAGATTATTTGCAGTGTGTGTCTGTGTGTTTGTGTGTGTGAGAGAGAGACAGACCAGGTCAAAGTTAAGCAGATCTGTCTTTAAACAGAGGTATTAACCATGACCTCTCTCCTTCCTGAGTTCTGCCCTGTGTCTGTTGAGGGCCAACACATTAACAGGAGCACACACTACTGCTCCTGCTTTTTTCCCAAAGCAAAACATTCAGCGGTTGTTCTAATGATTCCTGAAAGAACTGCAGGGTCTGAATCGTACAGAGAGGAGCCTTTCCCAGTCTTGCTTTCATGTGAGCTCTAAATCCGTTCATATTATTGAGAAGTCTCAGTGCCAGCAGCTATTATGTGAAAATGATATTGTCTGAATCAACAAGGCTCTTGAGAAAATGACTCATGTTACAATAGGTGCATCGGAAATGCACGTTTAGCCGGTGTTCAGGAGCCCTGTGAGAATACTCCATCAATGGATTTGTATCTTAAAAGTGCAGCCAAGCATGGATTAGATGTGAACTGTCATTCCTGTGTTGCAGCCTCACCCTCAGTGCATTCCTCCCAGCTGAGAAATCTGTAATGACATAAAAGAACACAGGAAATTACCTGTATCCACAGGCATTAATAGCCCCTATTTAAATTGGCAATTTAATGTTTTGTTAAGGTGGAAGAGCTACTGCTGACAGTTGTCTGGCTCTTTTTGTTTTCTCTCTCTCTCACACACACACACACACACACACACACACACACTTCTATATGAGCCTATTCATGGGGAGGCATAATAATAAAGTGAACTCAGAATGTTTACATACTTGATCATTACATATTTATACATACAGTAGCACTTGATGGCTCTGTGACCTACTGACTGGAGCACATTCCTCGCTTTAGAGGCAGCTCAAGAACTGATATGACCTGAAAGTGATTTTGTGATAAATAAGCAAAGGACAGAGCAGGCTTCATATTTTTGATTGTTCCACTTTGTGCCGGCAGTGTATTTGAGTGTTCATGCTGTCTTATTGATAAATAGAATGAGGCAACAGGCTCCGTTTCACTGTAGTTGCACTACAGTGAAACAGAACAAGACAATGACAGTGTTAACATGTTGATGTAAAGCAGGTACCGCTTACCAATCCTTCAAATAGTTGTTGAGATATTTCAGTCTAGACCAAAGTGGAGGACTGACAGACTGACACAGCCATGAGAAAATAATAAAAGAGATAATAAAATGAAGTCAGCATTGCTGAGATGTGGGAATGTGTCAGTAACATCAAACAAGGCAAGAACCAGGGTTCAGGCAATCATACAGGCTTTAAACAGCTTCCCAGTTTAGCCGAACATACTTTGAATAAAATACCAAAGCAAATGGTAAAATTATTATCCAACCTGTTATGAACATCCTGGTTCAACTTTGACCTACACTTGCTATGTTTTATTGCATAAACATAGTTTTTAGGTAATTTTCTTACATTCAAATGAGGCGTTTTAGATAATATGACTAAAATGTTGCCTTGTTGTATAATCTCTATAATTGTCCGACTTGCAATACTCCTAGATTTTGGCCATTAACTTGAAGATCATAAAAAATGAATGGACAAAACACATAAAATAAGACTTCATTTGTAATAAAGCAGAATTAGCTTTGCCCGTGAGATGAAAGCCATGTGGCATTCCAAAGAACAGTCTCAGCCTCATCCATACCCATTAAAATCGTCGTGGGTTATATCAGTCTTTCAGCCTTACATCAACGTGACGTCATTCTTACCTATGGTCATGGTAGACGGCAATGACAAGAGCAGCTATCCACCAGCACAATATGAACAATCAGAGCTTGTAGGAAGTGAAATACCTCCAAACCACAATGCAAACATGACCATTTCTGTTCCATTAATAATATTAATGCCCTGGTGATGGCACAAGGTGATCCTGACTGCCAAGGCATCTTGTTTTTGGAAAGGAACATTGAAGTCCCTGTTCTAGATCACATTTCTTTGATGTTGCTGCCTCTTTAACACTGCAATAATATTTTATTTGCCAGGCTTATATAGATAGGACACTGCATTACTCCAGGAAAACACTGGCAAATATTTTGCACATGAAGACATCATATTATTAAAGTGATATCACTGAACATGTTGCACAATCTGTTTATCTGTGGTACTTCAGTCAGGGCGCACTGTGTGTTCTGCAGGCTCTCAGGCAGCCTGCAGGTTTATGCCACTTCTGGCACAATCAGTTAAGAACTATGCCAAAACCACCTTGTGTTAAGAATGATGTTTTTATTTTGCTATCAAGTGTGGCTGTTATGTGTATTTCTTTGGGATGAGGGTGTTTCAGCAAGATTAATGTGTGCTGTCTTGTGCAGGCCAGGTGGATGGTGTAACATCTTCACGGTCTATTGGTCTCCTCTGACTCATGCAGCACACCACAGAGAGTAGGTCTATGCAGGACTCTTTACTCACATAGTAAGCATGCATTTGTTTTTTTAAATATTCACTTGACAGTTTTGTGAAATACTAAAATCAGTCAACTCAGTTTGCTGCTGTCAGCATCAAATTAACACACACACAAAAAAAAGCCTACATGACCATTCAAATGTCTTAATGTGCTGCTTGATGAATGAAAACATCCAGATACACACACACGCTCTTCAGAAAGTTACATAAAGAGTGTGTTATTGCAGATGTGATGTTGATTTTATGATCAATATACCTACTAAAAATGTTGGAATCTTGGTTACGCTTCTCATATCTATCTCGCCGGGTTTGTATAAATTCAGGATTCCTTTCTGCTCTGTCTTACAAATGTCACTGGCAGTCATTAAGGAGGAGGAAAGAACAACCTATATGTCATCACATGGGCTCTTGAAGCACCCAGTCAGTCACTCTTTCTATGAATTAACATGAATTAATTAATTTGAATTTAAAAAAAACTTTTATTTGCTTTCACAGATGTATCAAACTACCCTCAGTGGACAGAGGAAATATATAAACTCCCCTATTATTTGTGTACAGTTCCTAATAGGAACCCAGCAGATTTATTTATCCTTAAACTATTGTTTTTTCTTGTAAACTGTTAATGATCACACTCAAGTGACAGGACAAACAGTAACTATAAATGAAAATGAGTATTTAAAAATAGTTTGTAATGAAATCATTGCATCCAGAATTGATTTTTCGTACAAAAACGCGTCTTGACGTGCATTGTCCACAGAATGAACAACAAGATGACTAACAGCTAGAAAACAGACATGTGTTGGAAGTCACTGCTTCTCAGAGCATCCGTACTCCACACTACTTACTGATCCACGGATGGCAGTAGTAGTGCAGGTAGGGCGAGGCCTGGTACAGTGGCACAGTCATAGGGATGTGTACTCCATTCGCAGGATGGTACTGCTTTTGATTGTCTCTTACCAGCACTTTGACTGCTACTTTCCTCGGCGAACTGAACGCCGGCAACTCGGCCGCCATCTGGCGCCGTTTGGTTTTATATCTCCGGTTCTGGAACCAGATCTTAACCTGGGTCTCCGTGAGTTTCAGGGCTCCTGCAAGATCGGCCCGTTCGGGACCTGAGAGATAGCGCTGCACGTTGAAGCGACGCTCCAGTTCGTAGACCTGTGCGTGAGAGAAAGCTGCCCTGGAGCGCTTCTTTGTTCCGGGCTTGGACTGCTGCTTATCGGGCGAACAGCTGATCGTCTCCCCGCAGTGGTGATAACCCTCTTCCTGTGCGTCCGCCTCCTTTCTCTGCCGCTTTTCCTGCTCCACGCAGCGTGGTTGCTCGTGCTGCTCGTGCGCAGGGCCTGTAGGAAAGACAGTCCAAGTGTGTATGTTTCCTTGATGTTCTGAAGCAAAACTACCGCAATATTGGCCAATATGAGGTCTTCTAGATGAAGAAGACCTCTATCACAATCACCATGCGCTTAGGTTACGCTTACGTTTTTTCCAGCACATCTCCAGTTTTTCCAAACTTTCTGGTTGTATGTTTCCTGTCTCATACCACTTTTCTCAAATAACAAAGCTTTCGGATTAGATCACTCTGTGCCAAATATAACATGAAGAAGATTTTGAAAACTTTTTGAAAATGTGATTAGGAAAAATAGGTGCTTCTAAAAGTATCATCATATATTTTTGTGAATTATAAAATTATGGGGCTTTATTTGTCTTGTTTTAAGATGTCCATTTGTGCACATATAATCCTTATGTAGAAAACAAACGAGCCTATGACCCTTTAGTCATATTTATTGCAATGGACAACCACGGTCCTTTATTATATCGACATATTTAATTCTTTTCTGCCAAATAGAAAAAAAGTCATCACCTTCTCTGTGCTCAGTCTCTTCTCCTGAGGGCTCCTCGCCGCAGATATCAGGTCTGAGGTTTCCAATAGACAGTCTGAGATCAGGAGGATGTCTCTGCTCGTGGATGCGGTTCTCCTCCACCTCTTGATGAGACACACCAGGGACCTTTGCGCAGCCAAGCTCGGGGCAGGTGTTGCGCGTTGGCGCGCAGAGCGCCTCTGTACCCCCGAGCTTCCCCTTGGCATCACGTCCGGTGAGGATGTCTTTGATGGAAAAGGACGAAAAACTTAAGGTCATGATTAAAGCAAGAGCACGGATATTGCCTCACATTCGCATGTGATTTATTAGGCGGCATCAAGAGGTCAGCCACTGGAGAGTAAACGTCCTTAATGATTCGAACTTTTCACCTTTCTGTATATTTGCTCTTAATTGTGGACTAAGCTCGGTCTGCCAATGACCTGCGTACATCTAAGGCTGCCAAGTCTATTACAATATCCTCCGCAACAGCAGCAGCAGCTCCAGTTAACCTTTAATAGGCTGTTTGCTCTGGGTGGTCCCACCTCCGCACCGCCCAGCTCCATGCTCTGCGCCGACAAGGTCTCCGATTTTGCAGAAGAGGTGGCTCATCTCGGCAAGGTGGGGTGTTTTTGATTCGTTTATGTTACGAACGCAAGTTTTTTAAAATGCTTAATAACTCCATATAGCTACATTTGCCATAGCCTGTTTATACAAAGAGAGTAATCAGACGATGCTGACTGTTCAAATATTACCATTACTATTATACATGAAAGTCAGAGCAGATGCTTCCAATCATTCCTGCCAAACAGAGCTGTTTCACTCGATGTGTGTTTCCCAACAGTTCATGTATTTAAGGTGTAGAAGGAAATTTTGATGCGTAAAAATCTGCACAGCGCAATTTTCTAAAAAAAAAAAAAATCCTTGCACAAAACTGCAAACCCACCTTTATATTTGTGGTAGAACTATTTTTATTAACTGTTTTATTTTGTTCTATCTTATGCATAAATTGTGGATGTATTTTAATTGTTAATCTAACCTGACTTTTGGAAGCTGTAATGCCGTGACACATTTTGACCAGAGATGGATTCTTTTAGAGTGAAGGACTTCCAGCCTTGTTGCTCAGACAGGTGTGTAGCGCCGCCATGTGGTCATGGTGCATTTTCCAAATTCAGAGGTTTATAAAAAAAAAGTTGAGAACTGCAACTCCATATCCTCCACCTCCACCCCCACATTACGCAATCATACAATCAGCAAGCCTATCCTCCAGCCAGCAGACGTGATGACAGATCTGCCTTCTCCCTGCTGTTTTGTTTTCTTCTTCTAACAAAACAATGAAATCGCTCTGTTTGCCACAGAAATCAGTGCAAAGGTGACAAAACATGTCTGGATGGGAAACACAGAAGGTGTAGCACACATGCATGTGTTCAAACCACGAGATGACACCTCCGTAATTACAGAATGCAACGTGTTAATTCGGTAAGCAATGTGTGAAGACGTAATCACTTCACCTACTGTTCATTCTTATTTATGAATGAAGCTGCCTTTCACTCACTCACTAACAAGCAATTTAAACTGCATGAGCATCCATTAAATCTCTACACTCGGCAATTACTGAAAAACAATTATTATTATTGACCTTTTATTTTGTCTATTTGTTTTAATTTTCATTGTATCTAATTTTAACAAAGTTTTATCTTTCTTGTCTTAACTGGTTTTATTCTGGTTTTTAATATTTATTGTTTTTCTCCTTGACTAAAACTCTTTAAATTGCCCCTGTGTATGAAATGTGCTACATAAATAAAGCTGCCTTGTCGTTCTGGCTTGAATCATGCCACAGAAGAAATAACGTATAAGAATTACGTTCAAATCTTGGTCTTGAGGTGCAACCGGCTTTCAGAGTCTAGTCGAGTCAAGCCAGTTTTATTTGTATAGCATCACAAGTTTGTTTTTGCAGTCTGTGCAACATGAACACCCTCTGTGCTTAGATCACTCCCAATCCGCCAAAAGCTTAATTGCCGGTGTTTGTCTACGTTCAATGATGTCATAATATAAGAGGTACAATTTGAAATAATTTGACTTTAGTCCTAAAAAAGTCCTCCTCGTCTGACCTGAGATGCTATCTGACAGGAGAGCATTTTCTCTACCCTCTCCACGCACTTTTCTCTTCTCTATATTTGGGCCTTAGTTCTTTAATGGGATCCTTGAGTGGTTGCTATTGGAGACTTTGTTTTGGGAAAGTCCGCGCCTAGCGCAGCGATGATCCGAGCTATCTTTGGAAGCATAAGATAGCGATCGCAGCGCCTGTCAGAGCAGCAGTGGCCAGGCCCCGTCCTCAGGCTTCGCCGTCTTGTCGCCAGCTCTATTTACACTAGTGACTCTGCACCACTTAGCGCTGACACCAGGTATGTCCTACCGGCAGTGCAGTAGCCAGGGGAAGTGGCCAGTGAAGCTTTCAGAGGAGACAAACATTGTGTTTGCGTTGCCATTCATCTCCAAGTCTCTGCGTATTCGACCATGCCTAGAAGGTGAAGGTGTTTATGCTCATCTCCATTCAACGACCTATGCGTGCGCCCGAATGTGAGTGAGTAAAAAATGTGTGTTATCATACAGTTAGGAATAAATTAAGTAGGCAGCAATTTATTAAAACTAATGCAGTCTAATAAAGCAGTTCTGCAATGTCCTTCATGAAGGTGAAGGTTTTTGCTGAAACAGTTTTAAAGAAGTGTTGGTTCCATGGTCGTTTTGGAGGATGCGCTGCTGTTGAACTGTAGCTCCAATATAGTAAATGGGGTGGACAAAATAAAAGAAACAGTGTAACGCAACATCATTGACCAGCACCAAAACTATATCTTTCAAAGTGATCGTAGAGCTGAATCATCACTTCTCTAAAATATTTTTAAGATTTATGTATGAGGCTACAGTTTACCGGGTTTAAATGCAGGACTGATATATTAGACAGCATTAGGTTTAGCTGTGTACCTAATAAACTGCCAGCTGAGTGTATAATAAAGTTATGATATCATAGCATTATTATAAAATTACTGCTATATTCTTAAACCAATGCCCTCATGATTACCTGATTAAATAAATATTATATGTTGCTAGGGTTAGAATTATATTATATAATATATTACCAAGTATTATGTGAGTTTTTATATTTTAGCATTATGCATCAACAAGGACAAAATATGCCAACTAAATTTATCATTCCGAGTTCTGAGTTTATTTGCTCTGTAGGTCCCGAGGATGTTGGCTGTCTGGTTAATGTCCTTCTGTGAATCCTGACCGGACATTAGCTCGCCTCTAAATTCTCTTTGATTCTGGCTCTTGTCTCAGACCGAAGTCTGCTACAAGCTTTCCCACTGGGGGAAAAAGAAGTTTGCTTGGCTTGAGAAACGTTTTGAGAAGCTACACATAGTAAAGGATAAACGCTACATCAGTTTATTCTAGTTTCTTATCCAGATTCATATGAATGATGAGATGCAATAAGACGTGCTTCCAGAAAAGGTGTAAATACTCTTCCTGTACATATAAACGTACGTATTTACATACTGTATTTCTTCTCCATATGTTTTAATAAATCAACAAGCCACGAGGACACACACACACGCGCGCGCATACAAAGCACAGTACAGTAAGTCACTTGTGTCATTATGTTTGTTATATCATTTAATTCCATCATTATTGATGATATTCAGGGTTATGTCTTTATAACTTGTGCGTAAAAAGTCCTTTTACGAAAATACGCTCGTTTTAATAAGGATTCTTTAGCATCGGGGCCACTGTGGTCCATGTTTGTTTGTTTTTTTGTTTGTTTTTTTGCAATGCACCTCGTTGATCGAATTGGATAGGCCATTAGTTCATTCACTTTGGGCTCCACAATTTGTAGAAACGTGTGTGTTTGCATGAAAATGTATTTTATTGATTTTTTACGCATTGCATCCATTTCGTACCACAACAGGCCGCATTACGCACAGTCCTTGTTCATTGGCAACGTTAAATGCCACAGTCTATGCAACAGCAGGTTTAAAAAAAATTTAAACACCGGCTCAGAGAAAAATGCACATAATATGTATGGCTTGAATCTTAGTCAACACTTTAGGGTTTCCTCCTAAGCTTGCCTTGAGTTTCAGTCCTGTCTTTTCTGTAATGCAGTTTTAACTGTGGTCTCCTTGTATTTGATGATCAGACTTATATGTTTCAATCCATTCAGCAATTCCAGAGAAATCCCTCGCAGCTGAGACTGTGCGTAAAGACCGTGTTACCATGCCCGGATGCCCTGCAGAGTTCCTTGGCAGGGTGTGACCACTGGTCCTTGGGAAGCCTGGCCCGGCGTCTGTGCACTAATATTTCCTAAATTCATGTTCATAAACGCATTACTAGTGGTATTACTGGGCGGCAGAGTAGGTAAACTAGAATAAGTACAAGAGTAAGTGTTAGTATACACCGAGTTGTTGTAGCTGTAGGCTGGATAGCTGTTGTAGCTGTACGGGTTTGGCGTTCCAACTGTGTAAGACGTGTTATAGTTCTGGGATCCGGTCAGACAAGGCCTCCCGTCCCGGACCAGTACCGGCACAGCCACCCTCCTGGGCGGCGGTGGTGGGTGGTGGTGGTGATGGTGATGGCCTGCCATCTCTAGAGTCTTGTCCTGCCGCTGCCTCTTGCATTTGTACCTCCTGTTCTGGAACCAGATCTTGACCTGGGTGGAGGTGAGTTTCAGGGAGCTCGCCAGGTGCTCTCGCTCCGGGGCGGACAGGTAACGCTGCTGCTTGAAGCGCCGCTCCAGCTCGAACACCTGAGCCTGGGAGAAGAGGACGCGAGGTTTCCTTCTGGTCCTCTGCTGCTTGCTCGGTTTCTCCGGGTCGAGATCGTCACACTCACCCGGCAGCACACCTCTCTCTGCGTGGACAAGAGACGTTTAAATGTAGCACATCAGAGCTAAAACGACGTTTAATTATACAGTGTTTTAAAATACCTGTCCAGCACTCCACGATTTCCTAATATCACCACAGTGATATATTTTTGTGTTAACTTCCTTAAAACGTTAAAACAATAGTTTTTCCATATCAAATAACGTTGTAAATGTATGCTCTATATGGTCATATTTCAGGAAACTGTTTCACCTGCATTTTTCTAAATCAAAAGGTGTTTTCAAAGAGTTGCCTATTTAATTAAAATGGTAATTGTGAGAAGGTAGGTAGGTAGGTAGGTAGGTAGGTACCTGTCAATTTGTCCGTGAACCTAACCCAGTAAAGAAAGTCCAGATCTAGGAAGTTAAAGTTGAAAGTAAGAATCATTTATATGGAGACTTCTGCCGATTTCTTTGACTGATTAAATGCAAAGCCATTTGGCTAAATCTTAAAACTTGTGTATCTCTAATTACTGCAGTGCTTTTTTAGGTCTATCTGCTCAGTTATTTATTTGATTTGGTAAAATACATAAATAAAAAGATTTTTTAAAAGCACTGCAAGTTTCATACAACAATTAAATTGCTGGCAGTTACTGAATAGCAGAGAAATATTTTTTTTGTGGGTGCACGGTTGCAACAATATTTGGCTTATAGTATAGGGGAGAAATCAATGGACTTTTATCACTGAGGACCAGTTCCTTCTGGGAGCATTTGGTTATAGTTTATAGTCATTTACAGATTCATCTGCAAATGATATCTCGTCTCTTCGCATTACGTATTTCTTCAGATCTGTAATTGCTGCACAATGCGCACATATTTTAAACGTTAATGAACTTCTGTTTTACTTCTCTTGAATCCCTGTCCATGCTATTATTTAGAGGCCTACAGTTGACGATAACTCGACAGCTGTCGTCACTACCGTCCTCGTTAACTTCAGGACAAACATGTTTATCATTAGATGGTGAACTCACTGCTATCTTGATCCTCTTGCTCGGTCTGCAGCCTGAGGTTTGCAGAATGGTTCTGCGCCGGGTGGCTGAACATCTCCGCCGGTAGACTGGACTCCGCTAACCGGTCCGGTACTTCCACTGTGTTGATGTAGGACATCCTCTCGTCGCTCTCTGAGAGCCCGGGGCTAACTGGACTTGGACTGTCCCTACCTGCCAACATGCAGGAAGGCGGTGAATGAGAGCGGAACGGTTTGTTTGGGAACGCTCGCGGTTGTGGCAGCGCACCAGAAAGACCGAAGCAGGAGATAAACTGGAGCTGGTGCTGCTGAGATTGTTGCTGCAACTCTAACTTCAGAATGTCCTTCACAGAAAAAGGCGTGGTGGAAGAAGTTATGATCGGACTGGGAAGCATTATTGCCACCAACAGAGAGCTGGCAGGTAACAAATGTTGAACAGGCTCAAAGTTGGACGAATCTGTATCCGGGTGGCGCGTCGAAGAAGTAAATACCCCGTGCGTACGCGTGAATAATGGTCGCACACTGCTTGTTTTTCATGCAGATCCAGGAGGACTGGCTTTCTTTTAGCTGTGACATCCCTCTCCTTTAACTGTGTGTCTATGGCTGGAGGGCTGAGAGAGAGAGAGAGAGGTCGAGCTGAATTCAGTTATCTAGAGAAAGAGCTGGGTCAGCCAAGACGCTACCCTCTCCATTTCAGTGACGTCCTTAAGCGGGGAAGAGATTGATAAAGCTCTCTCTCTCTCTCACTCACTCACACACACACACACCTGAAAGACATTTCATTATGTAGCCCACTTTTAGTTTTTTTCCCAACAAAAAATACAGTAATATATTTAAAATGTTTTATACAGCAAATTTTTATTTTAATTTGGTGCAGCACCTTAATAGAAACAGTAATAGCAGTGAGTTTCTTCAGTAAAGAATTGATCATCTTGTCTTTGTTGGATCACATCACAGCTCTTTCCATCTTCACACGCTGGTTTTAAGATTAGGCGTATCTTCGTTTCCTGTCTCGGCAACGCATAGATAAGATAATATGTCATGGCTGTGTGGGAAATGGGATACAACTGGCAAACAAAGGAGGAATGAAGACCCAAAATTGGTCGTTTATTTATGTCTTCTTAAGATGAGAAAGTTGTAGGATTTTTTTCTTCCAAAATTTGGCCACGATGATGTTTTCCCTTGACATTAGGTCAGTATTTCCGAAAAAAGCCCTGAGTACAATATTAAGACAGTTTGGTCGTTTGGAATAACCAGTTTCATATGAGACGTTCACTACAGAAAGCTTGAATGCCTCTCCAAAAATAGTTTTAATTCAATAATAATAACAACAACAACACTAATAATAATAATTTTGACTGCTTTAGATCGTTATTTTTATTTATCATAATACGCATATCACGTTTGGGGTGTGTCTGCATTAACAGGGGTCACACAGATTCTTGTCCAATAAACAAAATATATATGTGAAGCTTTCTATTCATTTTTACCTGCGTGTCAAAGGGCAAACATGCTGAAACACGCCTCTCCCCTGGTCACCTATCTGTGGCCAGGCGTCAGGGTCTGAAGGGCCATTGCTCCTAAACGGTGTGGAAAGAAAAGGGGGCATGTCAACATAATCTCATCCGCTCACCATCAACAAGGCGCTGTTTAGATTAGGCCAGAGTCTTCTACTCTTCCGGAAATGGTCCATCGAAAGGGGAGCAGGTAGGCTTGTGGAGAAAACAGGCAGGAGACTGTGGATGAGCAGGCACAATGACAACAACAACAATGTAGAAGAGGATTTTCACAGGGAAGGTGTAATTTACCAGGACTTTATTGGAATGTAATGGCACATAAAATAAATCTGGTCAGTTTGTTTACCAAATGTTTACTAAGAATATTGTTTTATTAAATTCTGTGATTCAAAGAGACAACAGGTCAGAAATGAATGCACACTCTAATGAGGAGGGGTCTCGACTAATTTTAGATTTAAAATTAAAACTGATTAGGTTTCTATCCTTATATTGTTGACTATTCAATGTGTCACGTTTGAGCGACCACGTTACCGTGATAATGATGCAATTAGCTTTTCAAACCCTAAACACGCACGCACGTGCATCCAGGCTCGCGGGCCCGCACCTGACCGTCACCAGTGGTCTTCGCGTGCCACCGGCGGCCGAAAAGTGGCCAAGCGGAGAAGCGTGTTTACGTAGCGGAAGAGTCTGTTTCCTGCCTGTAACAAAACCCAGACTCCCAGTTATGTGTCAAGAAGCCGCTTGGTACTGAATGCAACCCTCCAATACATCATCTTCATGTGTGAATCATCGTGATAAGGTGCTAAGGCAGCCTGATAAGCTGCAGAGCGTTTTATTTATGCTTATTGGATAGCTCAAAGCACAAATAATTCCAAAAAATAACCAGCTAAAGTAGCAAGTCAAGTATCAATCATTCCTCTCAGTTCACTTTCTGGTGAGATCTTGGTCTGTAGCCTGCCAGGCAGTGCTGAACATGTTTCTTCTTGTTCCCTCCTTTCTCTCCAAATCTCTGGCAGGCTAACCTGTTGAAGCAGTGTCTTCTCTGAAGTGTGGCAGGTGTAAAGTCGTGTCAGTGGTTGCAAACACAGAAACCCAGTCCACTTGGAGTGGTGTAGGGTTGAATGTTCTTTTAAGATCCCTGAACGGAGTGAATGGAAGCTTGATGTCTCTGTAATGACTGCAGTTATCGTTCCCCTGTGGTCTCTGCTTCTGTAAAGCCAAGAGGCCATTGGTATCTGATGGTTTTACCACAGTAGTAAAGTTTGTGTAAAGAAAGCATCAACACCTCCAGTGTGCACTGTGGGTGGGTGCACTACAGGCCAAGTATCTGTGTATATTAAAAAAAAAAAAAGAGGTGTTATTAGGACTTGACCGAGCTTCGCAGAGTAGCACTTAACATCTTTTTACAAAGAAGCTGTTATGACAGGCTGGATGTGTGATGAGGAGCTACAGTGTGATACTGTGCCAATAACAAACAATAGATTGTTACATTAGGAAAATAGATGAAATCAAGTGTGTCTGTCTTCCATGTTGTATGTGAGCCCGGGAGCATCTTGACTTAGGAGAGTGTGTCGCAAGATGGAGGTGATGAGGCCATATAGACTACAGGACTGTGAACATATAGAAGAAAGCACACTGACATGCCTAATGTGTGCTAGCCTTATGTGGCTCATAATGTACTTTCCTTCTTCCTTTTATTTCACGGTCATCAGTAAAAATGGCAAAGGACCAAACTGTTGTGTGACAGCAATGGCTCAGTTCTTCTGGGTCCCGGAAGGTGAGTCTTATCAGCAGCACATGTGATGGTGTCAGTAGCCAGGACCCAGACTGTGCTATTGTGCCCCTGCCTGGGCCAGAGTGACGGATGACAGCGCCTTCTCACTGGAGGAAATGAGGAGGCCAGAGGCGAACCTGGGGCCGGATTTTTACCAAAACCGTGTTCTCACCCACTTACCTTTGGCTACGAAAGTGCCAGAAATGTCACAGTGCTGGACCTAAGGTGATGGCTAACCTGCATTTTGCAACATTCCCTCAGGGCTCATTGTGCTAACCAGGTTAGGAAAAAGATCACATAATTAGGCAGTTTGTTTGAATGACTGTGAGAGGGTGATGTGTTTGAATAGCAAAGCCTTGTCCTGTGTATAAAGGGTCTATCTTGGAGACTGTGAAAGGAGGAAGTGAGGTCAGGTCAGTCTGGGTCCCTTGCCCTTTGCCCTCCCTTGGGTCTCGTAAATTAGCCCGATGTAATTCTCTTCCAGACGGCTTTGGCCTAGCAGGTGTGTGTTTGTATATATGAGCACTAACAGGGGGATGTAAGGGCCGTAATGTCTGTGATCTACGGTGTTGGGAACATAGTTGGGAGGAAACATGCAGCCCTCTAGCTGAGTGTATGTTCTGTCCTACTTGGCCAGAGCTAGTGAGAAGTTATTAAATATGCTGAAAGGTGGAATCAAGGTCAGCTTGCTACTGGAGGGGCTTTCTTTAATTTGCTCAGGCAGTAATGGCTCCCTTAGGAGAGGTGATGTTGCCATAACAGAAAAACATGCATGTATCCTAGATTCAAGAGGTAAACATCCTTGAGAGAAAATGTTAGTCTCTCTCTCCAGCAACCATCTTTATCAAAGTGACAGTTTGTTTTCACAAAACTCTGCCTCATTATGTATCAAATTCAATAAAAAAAATATTTACTGCATAAAACACCAAGTGACAGTTTCTGTTGCTCTAATTCAGCAAAACGACTTTGGTCCAAGCCCCAGTGCTGGAGAATGATAAGATGATCTCCCAGTATGAATTAAAATATCACATTATTATAGATCAGTCAGGTTTCTCTCACTTAGTATAATTTTTGCAACAGTTTGCTTTATGCAGACAAAAAAATAAACAGTCAGGGTAAAAATTCAGACATGAGTCTTCCACTTCCTGTCTTTGTTTCATAGCATGTATATTTATATAAAGCTGAGGTCTGGAGAGCTTTAGCTGGCCAAAAGACAACATCAATCAATTCGAATAGCACAATGTAGACTTTGTGTTTGCGGTTCCACCCAGAATTATGGGGGTAAAGGCCATATCAGTGAAAAGCAGTGACCTATAGATAGATGGCATCATATCTGGCAAAAATGATAATCAAATGATCATTTATTGCCAAAGTTACATGATAAGACTGATTCTCTCATGTCCATACAATAAGTCTGAGGCTACCTATAGCCAGTAGCACAAAGAATGAAGACAAGGGGGAACAGTTAGTCGAACTCTGCTAAGCTAAGTTAACCGGCTGCTGGCTGGAGAACTCTGTATTTATTGAACATGTCAAGTGTACTGATAATGGCACATCTAATTAAGTAATTATTGTAATAAATGGAACATTAAATTAGTATTTAATGTGAATACTCTAATCCAAGCTACTCAGATAGTTATTTTTACTTTTACTTTTTAAGGTGAGGTGTACTTGCTGTACATTCTTGGTCTTTTGTCAAATGCACATAGAGAGCAAAGGCTACACGTGTATACACAAGGAAACAAGTTATTTTATGTCACAATATCAGATGGAGCACACAAAGGCATGTACACAGACAAACTTGAACAGACATACATCCAAATACACTGGTCGGAATGCAGTCAGACGCACAGAGCACTAATGTCTGTTGTTGCACGTATGCTCCATCAGTCAATGGGCTTCACAGGGAGCAACAAGGAGGTCCTGTGCTCTTTGTTGTTGCTGTGTCTAGTCCCTTGTTAGAGAATTGATGACACTGTCTTTGGAAAACAAACAAGGCGGGAAGCTAAAAAGGTGGTCACTCAGCACAGCTCCCTGACCCAGAGACACAGAGGCCATTGCAACATGTGAGCAACGGCGCGAAGTCCCCCTTGGAATGTTCTGCACGGTGTGTGTGCACACGCTCCTGTTTGTGTTTCAGTGATACCACAGCTGGAATGTGTCTTGTGCCTGAATGTGTGCCTTTGTGTGTTTTGGTTGTACAGCAGCAATACAAGTCTGCATGCAGTATTATCATTATTATTATTATACTGCTAGATGCCAAGATAAATGTTCATATATTAGTATCAAGAAATTCAGAGAAAGTGCCTGTGAATTTTTGTCTGGCTAACTCATTGATCTGGATGTGACACACTCGCCCTGTGGGCACTGTCTTGCCAGAGGCTACTCCTGTCACTCTCTGCTCTGACTCACACTTCACATCACTGTGACTGTGGCCCTTAGGCCTCCGCAGTATGTACACACCAAGCCCTGCCCTGGGCCCCCAAGCCTTGTTCTGGGAGCTCAAATCCTATAATTGCAGAGCTGACAGTGATAGCTAACATACAAGACACCCTCACCTGGTCGGAAAGAATGAAAACATCTACTGTCAAACTGTGGAAATGAGTGGGGGTGGTACAGGGTTTAGGAAAAGTGAGTAACATCTGGGGCAAAACATAAGGGGAAAATAGTAACTCAGTGTTCTCTACCTGTATAAGGGTTAATTGTAACACTTTTGTAAAGTATACCTTATAAGGGATTTATAACTGATGCATTAATTGTAAATAATGCCTTAATTAAAGGTTAACAAGTTAGTAACATGCCAGTATGAAAGACAACTATAGGGAAAACACATAGATTTACAACCTAGCCCATGCAATAAACTCTTCTTTACTTGAAAGGAACATTAAGAGCTAGCACAGAGTTATAACTGACCTATAAACCATTATGTTGAATTGGAATAATTTGTTTCTGATATAACAATTTGATTGAAAAATATTGCTGATTCAGAAATTTAACTGCTGAACACAAGATGTCTCCTATTAACTCCTAAGTAGAGTTAATTGCAAATCTGATTGGTTAGAGAGGTCAGTCCTGTTTAAATATCATTTAGAAGCTAATGTGTCTGCACTGCTGCCAGGGCTGTCCAATGAGTCTGTGTCACTGGAGGCTTCGACAGCACCTCTCCACAGTAAAATATATCAGAGAATATTTCTACAACAAAAATATTTGAAAACGTTACCTACTGTAGCTGTAATCTGTACAGTAAACAGATGTAGGAGCTACAGCTGTCAGATAAATGTAGCTGAGAACCAAGATTTTTCCAGCATGGAAAAGCATAAGTAGTATAAAATGGAAATACCCAAGCATGTACATGTACTTACAACTTAAGCCACTGGTTGTCCTGTAGGTTAAAAGCCCTGTATAGAATATATTTTATTAGAAAACTGTCTCAGTATATTCTACAATCACTGGGTTAAACTACATAAATTAGATTAAAACATGCAACAGCACTGAAGCCTCCAATGCACTTAGTCCAGCCTCCTGTGTGCCGAAAAGCTTTCCAACAAAGTCATGGCAGCAGAGAGGAGGCTAGAGTGGCCTTCATTTATCAACCACTTCAGCTCCAGCAGACAGCTGTGGGGAGAGCACAGAGGAGCACAGAGGAGCACAGAGAGTGGCGTTTACACCGTAGCTCAGCCGAGGCCCTCAGGAGAGAACAGATGAAGAACTTTCCACATATCCATTTACACAGTTTCACATGTGCTCACGCAAACAGCGTCCAGCCCAAGCGTAGTAGCTGTCTGATCAGCTCATTCTGATATTTATGTATGGCCTCACCTTCTGAAACAGTGTTAATGATGAAGGTGAACCCATGGTGAGACGGTGCTCTTTTGAAAACATAACTCTTTGCACAACAAACTCAGCAGTGACAGGAAGCTCCTGACATAATTTTTATTTATGTTTGTTTGTTTCTCTCTCAACCTACTGGATCCCTGGTACAATGTTTTGTTGTACATACTATTCTGTATGTTGTCTGCTCTGTTCTGGCAATACAGAAGAAAAAAGCTTTAACGAGGTTGTGGCGCCACCTTTTGGTAAAATATGTTATTGCAACAAAATCCTGAACCACCCACTTTCCACACTAGATATTTGTTGACCTTTGTCAGTGCAGGGGTATTCTTTAGTCAACAGGCCCTGTGTGCATGTTTTCTTGAACTTAGACCTGACGGTGCTCAATGCAGGGATTGGCTTGGCAGATACATCTGGATTCCTATTGGTAAATCTGCTCAAGCCCACATCTCCCAAGTTGAAGGTGAAAGTCCTCTGTCACCTTGTTTGCTGTCTCGGTAGCTGCTTGTCATTTACTGCTGCAGCAATCTCTTGTAGAGTAAATAGCAGCTATGTCGATTTTCTGCAAGGTCCCACAAGCAGCCCCTGTAGCTGTCTTCAAGTTAACACAGGATTTCACTAAGGACCAATTCCCCACCAAAGTGAACCTCGGAGTGGGAGGTAAGTTGTCCACAATAAGTCTGAACGTCTGTGTTACAGTAAGTTGTGAGACCCATGAGATTCTTTGACATGAAGGAATCTAACATGTTTTCATGTAGGTGATAGAGAGTACAGCCAGTCGTTTTCCTCTGATGGCACAGAATCTGACAGCTCACAAATGTTTGTGTAACACAGGTAACATCTTGATAACAGAGTCACAGTCTCATCAGACCCTGTTGAGAATAAATCCAGCTGTGGTCATCTGTCCATGTTACTTGCTGTGCAGTCACTGTGTCTTTTACCACTGTAGATGATATTTGGCCTGAGACATGGTAGTGAGCTGTAGAGTAAGTTGATGGTCTTATACATTGTAGTCCTCATATAAATAGCGCGGAGAATTGAAAGGTTCACTGATAGAATCACAAATACCAACATTAGCAAGGTGCAAATGTATGTACTGTTAAAACCATTATTATTTCAAGGATATATGGCATTTATCAACTCCCCCTATACCCCTACTCCCATTCGGTAAGGAAAGTGGCTTTCTTAACAACCTCGTTTAAAAATGGATCAAGACCTACAGTATTTCTATCACCCTTAGTCTTTCTTTCACTTGTGTGTGTAATTTTGTCTTCCTTAAATTGTCCCTTGCAGCCTACCGGACAGATGAGGGCCAGACTTGGGTTTTGCCTGTGGTGAAAAGGGCAGAAAAGATCATTGTGAGTGATGACAGGCTAAACCATGAGTATCTGCCCATCCTGGGCCTGCCTGAGTTCAGATCCTCAGTGTCCAGAATTGCGCTGGGGGATGACAGTCCAGCCATCCAGGAGAACAGGGTTTGTGTGGTAAAACGCCATCCAGTGGTTTGGTTTCTAATCTGTTTACACAGTAAAGTGAACGTGTCTGCTTTTGTCACTGCCAGGTGGGTGCTGTCCAGTGTCTGGGTGGTACAGGTGCTTTGAGGATAGGGGCAGAGTTTCTCAGGTGTTTCTACAATGGAAACAACAACACCAAAACACCCATCTATGTGTCTGCACCTACCTGGGGTACATACATGCACAGATACAGTGATAACGATCATACCTCATGCAGAATTCAATGCCTTTTAGATATTTGAATGCTTTAGAGAGAGTCCATTAGTCATGAGACCTGTCAGTCGACTGAGACTCTTCTAGTCAAGCATTTGTTTTTATTTATAACCATGTCTCAGAAGAAAAACTGCCTATAAGAGCATTGTTTCAACAGAACTATAACTGTGCTGCCTGTCTCGTTATTCCGACAAGTTCATATGGCAGCACAATTATATAGCATCAATTTAAATAGGTTGCAATTTAAATCTCACATCATATGCAGCTATTTTTTTAAATGCTCAGAAATATGTCCCTGTCACTCTTTGATTACAGAGACTCACAGCAGATTTTAGCCTCAGGCTGTCAGTGGAGTGTTTATCTCATCAGTCAGCTTGATTTGTTATCAGTTTGGATGTGAGCCATGGTTCTTCAGTGACTGATCTTTATTCCCCTTATTGCACTTGCTGTACTTCACTGTCATCAGATGCACTGTTGTACTGCTCAGATACTTAACAATGTACAAATTAATGCACACATTTAAACCACACACTGTAGAAACCAAAACAACACATATACATGAAGGAACATAAATGTACACAACCAAGAAGCAATGAGTCCACTTGAAGTAACATAGAAACTCCAACTTAAAACCCTTAAGTGGAGTAGAAAACTTCTGTTTCATGTGCCTTCTTGGATTGTAAGACCTAGAATATAGAACATAATGTAGTTCCTACTTAGTGTTAATACGTGGCTAACCAATATTCATGAAAAAAGAAATCTTAATAAATAACATATGTAAAAAACAAAAAACAAAAATGACATAAATAACATTTACGGCAGTTAAAAGAAGCATCAATAAAACACTATCCTTGTATCTACGGGAAATATAAATAATCAAATGAGAAGGCAGCATCAGTTTTTCTTATTGTTTGTTTCAGAAAATCATGGTGCTGTATTCACCAGTGCTGGGTTTCAGGATATCCGTCCATACAAGTACTGGGATGCACAGACGAGAGGCCTTGATTTTGTTGGTTTCCTTAGTGACTTGGAAGTAAGCAGTGTGTGATATGAACTTGATATTGGTCTTCAGTCATGAGGGGTTTTACAGCACTTCTTCTCTGTTTCTCACAGAGCTGTCCAGAACGCTCCATCTTTGTCCTGCATGCCTGTGCCCATAATCCAACTGGCACAGACCCCACACAGGATCAGTGGAAGCAGATTGCACAAGTTATGATGGTATTATACAGATAAATGCACACAAACACAAACAAGATGTTGCTTGTTCTGCTCCCTCGACTGTCACAACAAACAGTGACATCAGTGCAAATGACATGGTTTTACATACTTAATGTTTTTCACAGATGATGATTGGTCTTTTTCCTGTTCTTTTCCAGAGGAGGAAGCTGTTTGTGTTCTTTGACTTCGCTTATCAGGGATTTGCCTCAGGCAATCTGGAGAATGACGCCTGGGCACTTCGCTACTTTGTCTCCAGGGGTTTTGAACTATTCTGCGCCCAGTCATTCTCCAAGAACTTTGGCCTCTACAGTGAGTGACCCATGGGCACATAAAGTTATTTATTACACTCTTGCAAGAGTTTGACTTTCCTAACAGTGACGGGTACACAGGTTCTAATATGGCCAGATTTTTGCAGTAGAACAGTCGCAAAGAAAAACCCACCAATGGTTGAACTTGACATACAGTGAAAGCATAAGATATAACAGGCCACATTCATTTTTGCCAAATTTACAGAGATGGTGTTGAGTGCAAAGGAATGGTCTTAATCTACGCCTGTCTTATTCTCAAACATGGCAAAATACTGGACATGCTCAACACGGCATAGAGCTAAAACCCACTTATTTAATATGAAAGGAAAAACTGATGGCTTGCAACTGTCTTACAGACACATTTATAGTAACAAGATGCAGGTTCTCCACAGATGGAGCAGTTTAATCCTTGTTAGAGCGGTTTCACACATTCCATGTCTACTACTTTTAGGACAGACCTAGAGGTAAAGAAAGAAATAGAGACAAAATTATTTTATCTGTTTGTTCCGTCAGATGAGCGTGTAGGCAACCTGACCATTGTGAGTCGTGACACAGACAACCTGAAGCGAGTTCTGTCCCAGATGGAGATGATTGTCAGGACGACTTGGTCGAACCCGCCCTCTCAGGGAGCTCGTGTTGTTGCCCTCACTCTTACCTCACCTGAACTTTTCAGTGAATGGTCAGCACAAAGCATCCCTACGAAAAGATCAGTCAAGCCACCGAATGAGATGACAGTTATAAAAATAACGTATTTTCTGCGTCTTTGACTCCAGGAAGGACAATGTGAAGACCATGGCTGACAGAATCTTATTGATGAGGTCTCAGCTGAAAGCTAAGCTTCAGGCTCTGGGGACACCAGGGACCTGGGACCACATCACAGAGCAGATCGGCATGTTCAGCTTCACAGGCCTCAACCGTGAGTACAGACACCATTTACAAAATGCACTCATCCTCTCTCACACACTTAACGCAAATGACCACACCCACATCCCCATAGAGACTAGTATATTTTGCAGTTCAAATAGATGCAATTACAAAAAAGCTGAACTCCACATAAAACCCCAGTGCTTGTAAACAAAAACTGAAAATCTGTTGAACTCAGAAGAGTTATAAATTCATCATACACTACTTAAGATTTAAAGAATTTTAGCATTTGCTCATAATGCTACACAACATATTTTCTTCTGATACACATTAAAATCTTCAGAGGATCTGTAAAGTATCACATTAAATATCAATCAATCAATTATCTGCTGTATTTCCTGCAGCTAAACAAGTAGAATATTTGGTGAAGGAGAAACACATCTACTTAATGTCCAGTGGTCGCATCAACATGTGTGGTTTGACAACCAAGAACATTGACTATGTTGCCGAGTCCATCCATGAAGCCGTCACCGTGGTGCAGTAGAAGACACTACCCACTGATCTCAGCACTTCCACCTGCTCAGACCTGAGCCAGGGACAGTGTATGTATCTAGAAGATTTCCTGGAGCAAACATACAAATACATAGACGACTCACTGGCCCTGTTTCCCCTCCAGGCTTTCAGTGTTTGTGCTAAGCTAGGCTCTCTACTCACCGCACTTCTGACAGCAGAATATAGTACTGAAGTGTTATTTTAAGTAATTGTCTTCTTAATTTCTGGCATTGCTACCTCACTGATTGTTTTTTAGTGTACAGTACGGCATGTGTCATTACAAGGACCTTTGAGAGGGTTAATACATCTACGTATGTCAGCAGTGCTGACTTTACTTTCTAAAAGGTTTTAATGCCATACTGTTGTGATTCATCCATTTCAAAATGGCATGTATGTGTGTTTTTAATTGTTTTTGAACAACAATGGAGGCCTTTGGCAGAGACGAATGAGCTCATCCAGGCCTGAGTAGAAGCAAATCATTGTTGGTTTTAGGCTCTGTATGGGGAGTATGAAAATACTATTAATACAGAAAATGACCAGTCTTATATTTTAAGCACAGCTACAGAAGCTTTAACAGGAGGAAACAATTAGATCGACTGACCAAGCTATTTACCACCGCTATCAGTGAAGCAGTAGAAAATCCATCATTGGATGAAATGTGAAAAGGGGTTCAATGTTCTCAGGAAGATATTTTTAACTATGTACTTTATTAATGATATGCTGTAATCTGTCCAAAGGGGTTACACTAATCACCTCATTGTTAATCTGCATTTGTGAAGTGTTGTTTCATCTAGTTTGTGTTCAGTGAGCACAAATGGTACTGAACTGTGTCAGGGGTTTTCTGCTGCCAGCTGAGTGATGTGATGTCGCTGCCTCTGTCGGCCACTTGCCATTAAATGTTGACTTTGCACAGCAATCGTCTGCACTGTTATGCAAGGCTCAGTGGCACACATGCACCAATGATCAACTAGTTTGCTGTTGTATCACTGTGTACAGTACACTGGTAAATCAGTCATGCCCTCATCAGACCACCTGAAAATGACTCAAGTAAAGAACTTCAAATATTATGTTTGTAATGTAGACATATACTGCACATTGGACTTAGTTTTGATATATCCCCACAGTGTACACACTCCATACCTTACAATGGACAATGGCAAAAACAAAACAAAGTAGACAAGAACAACAGTTTGGTCAATTTATTTACTGAAAAATGTAGCTTATATAGAAGATATGGGCTCTCAGGATGTTTGGGTAACTTGTATAATCATCTGAATTTGACACTACAAAATGAAACTTTGCCCGTCATCCCAGTATTCTGCTTTTTGACGGTTTCTCTATCCACACAACTACTCTAGCTCAGTCGTTTATCAGGTCAAAATGGTTTCTGGTGCGTGTTCTGACAGAGGGGTCAGTGTAAACGACTTAGCAGCACAGTCTCCTTTGTGCCTCCGGACCCTACTAGGCAGAACAAATAATATCAGTGTGTCCCCAGTGAGTGTGTGTGTGGGAGGTGGTGGCTTGACGTCAGTGTGCGTCACACAGTCTCTCCGACTGTGTCAGAGCAGGTCAGCATAGCCCAACCTGTGCCTGCAGCAACTACTGATGCCACTCACATTTTAATTAAGGATCAAAATATGACTTTATTATTAAGGATCCAACTCATTTGTGCAATAATATTAATAAATTAGCTTTAAAAGTTCCTCAGTACAGTTTTTGATCAAATTGCAGCCAATTGTGTAAGACTTTTAGCAAGTCACACATTTGTGCCTTAGTGGGGATAAGTTACTGCAGACTGGTGTTATCCTGTTCACTGGTGTTATCCTGTTCATGCACGCTTTGACGAGCCACGCATATGGACACACAGGGTTTTTACAAGAGGTTAACTCTACAGTAAAAGCAGCATAACCAAACATGCAAGGAGCAACTACTTTCTCAAGAATACGTATAATATCCATTTGGACCCCAGGACCCCTAGCTTATTATTAATTGGTGTATGCACCTTTAGTGACTGATGACCTGTACATAGAAAAGTGGCTTATATAATAGCTAAGAGGTTGATGTGATGACTCCTGCATCACTGAATGCAATCAAAAGACAGGGTGATGAATTGTTAAAAATGTGGTAGCATCAAGTAAACGGGTGTGAATGTGAAGGTGTTTGATAGAAACAGTGAAATTATGTCCATATAGTTAGAAAGATCTGTTTTTATGGGTAGGACAGACTGTGAAGCATATTTAAATTGGAAAGATGCGATTACTGATTGTATGCGGTTGTGTGAATTCACGTCACTTACTATATGTGTATGAGTATGTATAAGATGTATATTCAAATGTAGTATATTCAAATTGTGCTAGGTAATTCTATGACTTCCATATGTATATGGAACACTGCTGTGGTTATAGAAGGTGACACCCTTATGGCATCATTAGGACAGTTCCCTGTGCAAACAACATTTTCAGTATGTGTGAACTGTCTTGTAATGACATAAATAAAAAATACTCTTTTATTCATGATTAGCTCAAGTAAAAAGTTAAAACTGGCTCAGATATGATCAAGGACCTTGTTGGGTTTCTCCATATTCAGAGATCTCATAGAGTTTGTTATGAAATAACACGCCGCTGTTTCAGTAACATATTATGGCTTAAATGAAATGATTAAATGTTAACACTATGAATAGAGCCATAATGTAACACACACACACACACACACACACACACACACACACAATGGTTTCCCCATTAACAACAAAACATTATTAAAATCCGCTGAGGTCTACACAGTCCAGTGTAAGGTGGGATATATCCAATACTATGTTTAGATTTGCCCATATGAGTTTCTTAATGTGCTAAGTCAGGCAGATGTGTGTCACTGGGGACCTGAGTATTGTCAGTGGCTCCAGTATATAACATGGCTCAGTCTCCTGTGAGAGCTATACCAGAACATGGAGGGAGTCTTTGAAGGGGTGGTTGTTTAATGAGGATGCCCTGTAATGAGAAAGAGGAAGGAGTGTCACTGTGCTAACTCGTCACTGGTGGTTGCACTGAGCTTTCCTCCAAACTCTGCTCTCCTTCCTGAGACTTTTTTCTCCTCTTGTTACCTAGAAACAGAGAAAAACATGCTCGGGTAAGTCTTAATGGTTCAAAGCAATAAATAAGACAAAAAAGAGGGATTGCACGCCCAAATCAACAAGAAGATTTCTTTTATCCATTCAAACTGTTGCACATCAGAACAGGGGGAATGCACTGACGGTTTGACTCCAGAGTGCATTGGCTGAAGATGATGTTTGTCTGTGCATTTTCCCCCTGTGCTGATGTGTGGTGGTTGATTTGGCTGTGTGAACCCTCCTCTGTTTGGTGATTTGGATTTTGACTCTGGTTACATGCACTTCACCTTTTCTGTCTTTTTGATGTTTTTTATGAATACATTAGTGAGAAACACCTGCCTTAAAATGCAGCTGTATGAGGTTTCTCTTGCTTTACTGTGAACAAACCAACTTCCTTAAGATTGAAATAATAAGTCAAACTGTATCTGAGCCGACAAGGTCATTTGCATCTGGAGACTCTGCAGGAAGTAGTAGGCTGGAGTGAGGGACGTGACACATCACCTGTTGCTAAGATACCCACAGCACTGTTGCTATGCCTGACAGAAAAGTTTGGCCACATCTGACACCATGTGTGGGTGTGCTGTCACATCGGTGCTCATGACAAATGCCTCACTCACTTATTTTATGCAATAGCTTCTTTCCAATGTTCTCCTCAGAGCTGGACCGAGACAGAGAGCTGATGAAAGGAGAGGTGGATGGCCGAGACTCTGTAGGCGCATCTGAAGGAGAATGTTTGGGAGATGAGAGGGAGACAGAGCAGATACAGCAGAAATAGCCCCCAGGCCTACAGTGATGTGCACATACATAAATTCTACTGCGTGGGAAAGCTGAACTTTTGTCGATCTACAAAACTAACAGTTTTGAGGGCAAAACTACAGAATGTAATGTTTGAGGAACAGCTGCTTCTGGCACAGTGAATCATTAGGCAAAATGACTTTGAGTGAGTAAAATGGCAGCAACAAACGTCTCCTGGTGGGGTATGGTTTGTTTACGTGCGGTGTGTTTGGGATAAAAACCAATGAAATATAATGCTAAACGGTCTTTTAGCCGGAGCACAAACAGAGAATCATAAAGTCATCAAAGTGACTCATGTCTTACATTTGCTAACATGAGTCACTCTAAGCTGTTGGTCATACCAAACAAAGTAAAGCTGTAGCAGAAAAACTCCTGAGTGTAGTGAACTGAGCAAGAGTGTATCATGTTGCATACACTTCAGAAGGTAGAGACAGTAAAAAGCCTTTGTGTCAAAAAGCCTTCAAAGAAAAACACAACATTGTTGCCAAGGAACAGATGGAGCAGCATTCACCGTTCTCCCTGTAATTTCCTGGTCGGTCCTCGTGGATGTAGGGAATCTCATCCATGTGGAGGAACACAGTATCATTTGGACTCCTCTGTCCATCAGATTTACTGCCTGGGAAGAGAGAATGAGACCAGTCAGTCATAATAGTATCAGATTTAACCAATTAAGTGTTAAAAGTATGAAGCTTAATTTTTAGCTCAAGATAAGGTACAAGCAGAGGAAGCGACTTCATTTCTGAAATCTGTGGTGTTGTCAATGAACATAAAACATGGCAGTATATAGTAAGTCGCTACTCTTTTATTGACAACTAGCAGAACCATCTGTCCAGCAACTAATACAAACACACACAAACTGGTTGGCATGTTGCAAACAGCTCAAGGCAGATGGTATGTGGGAGATCGTTTAAGCCTTGAGACCAGTACCGATTGGTGATACCACCAAACGTGAGATGCCACGTTTGCAGCATTTTTGTGAGTGAATCATTACCATATTGAAACTTTAATTTGTTCCAAGTTATGCTATACATGCACACAAACAGGTAGGATAACGTGTTTAGTTTCTTTTTTTTTTCCAGATGAGTATTTCTAAACCTCATTCAGTTCATTTCTGTTACTATTTACAGCAGAGCTAATCTTCTCAGAGCGACCTCGGGAACATTATCTTGCGTGAAGCCCCATTAAATACTGAGCCTCATTTTTATTTGTTTTTCCATTTGCATTTTAATTATGATATTATCAAAGCCGATTTAAATGACTTTGAGGCTTTTTACAGAATTAATTAACACTGAATCCAGCAGTCATCAGATCAGCAGTGATCAGGTTGCCCCTGACAACTATCAAATTGTCACATGAATCATGTATTGCTCCTGTCAGACAGGTTTTTGGCTCCACAAGCATTTCAATCAGTGTGTTCGATCCTTTGATCCATCTTCTTCTTGAAAAGACGTTTCTATCAGATCAACAAGTCATGATGGTCATAGTGAGCCTCACTGAGCTAGAGCACATTTACATTTCAGGGATTTGGTGTTGCTCTTATTCACCGTGACCAGCAGAGAGTGCAAAGGTAGACTATGAGAGTGATATGTAGCTAAAAGAGCAGGGGAGGTGTTTTAATTTTAGTTGGAAATTAAAAATCAAGGTGAGAAGGGAAATAAAGAAATGCATTTAAGAGAGAATGGAGGAGAAGCGGTATCACTGAGTGAAGTGATGCTGATGTAAGGTATCATAGAGTATCCAACATGTGGACTTCTAACCATGGTGGGAAGGACATGGGAAGGCAAACTAAGCCATTATTTTGTATTTTGTGATATTTTTGTACAGCATTTAGACGTTGGGCCTCATCAGCCAGAGTGCTGTCTATCACATGGATCCCAAATCTACAGGTCTTCAGCTGATCTGAGCTCTGCTGACTGTGAAAGCCGCAACATATCATTCTGATAATTTTCATACTCAAACTGTAATCTTATACAGACAGTATAATTATCTCTAGTGTTCCCACCATGACTTACACAGTTCTGATAGGCATATATTAATTCTCAGTGGTCAAACTGATGAACTGATGGGTAATACAGTTTGTATAATCATCATACTGTTACAAAGCGTCTACGCTACTTACGAACAATTCGGTTTCTTTCATTGAGCTGGGTGGTGCTGCAAAGGCCACTGTGGGGATGAAGATGTAAAAGGCGTGCCAACCCCCGACGAGTCTGTGTGTATGTGAGGGGGAGGGCGATGCTGTGAGAGCGAGCCTCTGGGACCGGAGGTCTCCCTTTAGCATCAGAATCCACTGGGTCCGGTGTCTGGGGGGAGCTATCCATCCTGGTGGCTGTTAGAGCATTCTGGTAATGGTTCCTGGTGATCTGAGGGGACGTGGAGACTGGGTATTGTCATCAGCATCAGACCTGCATGTGCATGCACAGCTGCCTGTATACATGTCTAACCCTAGCGCACATGGACAGGAGGAGACATAGACTGTATTGGAGGAGGGGAGGAGAGGTGAAGTGAGAAGGTGCATCCATCATTTAAAGCTAAAATATTAATGGTTGCAATAGAGCTCAATTACCTCCAATGATTAAAGGAGAGAGGGTGCATGGAGGGGAGCGCAAGAGACAGGATGTCTGTGTTCAGTCAGAGTCAGGGATTAGGACATATCAAAGGCAAATGCTGCAGGAAGGGTCTGCATTTTTGGGAATTTTGAAGATTAAATGGAATGAGCTTAAAAGTGCAGTTGTTTGTTTTTACCTTCATTGTGCCAGAAATTATATATAGTATAATAACAGTGGTTTAATATTTTTCCATATGTTGCTCTAATGAGTGTGTGTGTGTGTGGGGGGGACTTTTGTTTGTAACCTTGATGATCTGCAGATCTGTGAGCTGTCGAACTGAGTAGTCTGGTAGGTAGACCCCTCCTCCTGTAGTGAGCTGACCCATGCTGCCTCCACTCAGTATTGAATCTGACTGGTTCAGACCACTGCCCCGGGAACTGTACCTCGGACCTGATCAGAAGACAAGAACATACATTTTACTACTTTTAGTTTAGGATTTTATATGTACAGTAACTCTTTACTGTTGATTCAAAAACTTTTATTAGAAAGTGCAAAAAGTTCATGTTGTTAAATAGTCAAAGCTACAAGAAAAGAGGAAAAACTGAATCTCTCGATCTCCACTGAACATACTTTTAAAAGATGATTGATGGAGTTAGGCACATGAGTACTTTGCCCATTTAGTCTTTTCTATTTGCCTGTATCCCGCATGGTTTTAATTTGAGCCAATTGAGTGGCTGTGCTGCTGCTGCTGGCAAGTCGGCTGCAGAGCAATGACTCATTAAAAGAAGAAGAAGAAAAACCTGCTTTTGAAATGTGATACTTCTGCAGGTTTTTAAGAGAAAATTCTGGATTGGTTCTGTAATGAGGGATTTTCAAACATGTAATGGGGTCTTCCAGCATAGTTTACGCTGAAGATTACACATCACATAACCTCCATAAGAAACACACAGAGAGGTTCTCTGCTTGCTCTACAGTCAGCTGTCTCATATAATCCTGTGCAGGTCTTGTCCTTTCCAAAGGGAAATGCTCTGAAATCACTTATTTTAATTACTTTCTTCCCAGAACTGCTGCTGCTCTCTTACAGCATGGTGCTACATGGGCACTGGGTGAGATTTAAACTGTAAAAAACACTTCCATTACCAGCACTGCATTTACATCATGATTGTTGAACATTATGTGTTGTCACCATCGTCACCAACAGTTACTGATTTTCATTGCTTCATGTCCAAGCTTACTTACCAGTGGGCAGCGGTGAGATGAGAGCTGGAATTCCATAATAGGAAAATGCTCCATTTTCAAAGCGGAGACCCTCCTTCCCTATCTCTATCTCCACCCGCCCCTGCAATGTCAACACAGCCATTTACATGCATTGGGTCTGAGCTCATGGTGTGAATGCTGAATTGATTACTCCTCCAGTGAAGTTCCACACAGAGGCATTACCAAGCAGAGTGGTAATTAGTACTTGGTTCATCTTTTATAGATGTTTTTGTCCATTTGTGATTTACCTGCAGGATAAGGACAAAGTAGTCGACAGGTTTGTTTCTCTGGAAGAGGTAGTGTTGAGGAGCGTGTTTGTCCTTAGGGTTAAACTTGAGTTCCTGCACAACAGTGGGGTGTTTGATGAGACGCAGCAAGATCTTCTCTGACAGGTGACATAGCTTGAAGGGTTCCACCTCTGTAAGAAGGATGTATATAGACACACACACACACAAGAACACACCAAAACATGAGTCAAAGAAAGAACAGCATGTTCCCTGTCCTTATCCTCTTTTTACCCTCCAATCCACTGTGTGCACCCACAAATACATTGCATACGATACTGCACACGTGCATAAACATACATACAAATGTTACCTGTAGCTAAGAAGCGGTGTGTTGCAAGCAACAGCTGGGGTGATATCTTCACCTTCAGCTCATTTTCTGCCGGTCTGAAGATAGAAAAGTCCTGCTGTTTCCTTTCATGATTGGATACCCTCCTTTTGGTCCGATTGTCAGCTATGAACACACACAGTCTACATCATTTGAAGTTCCTAGTATACAGGGCAGATTTCACATATTATGTGTACGCTCTGATAATAACTGAGGGAAGAAAGGTGCAGTTGCAGGTATTGTAGCTGAAGATAATCTAGTGCCTCTGATTGATAAACTAACTTATCCTCCTCAAAGGCATGTAGTACTAAATATATTACATTCCATTAAATACATCACAGCTGCAGCAGGCAACAGCTGGTGTTAAAGTGTGGAATAATTTGCTCCTCCACACACAGAGACACACAAGAAAAATGCAGAGTTATGAACACCCACACAAGTGCACCCATGACAGAGAGACAGAGAAAATGGTAGCACACAAAAGCAGGAGCAGGAACAGGAGTTTCTGTGGAAGCATATAATACAGCATGAGTCATAACTGTGCTATGAGTACAGTGAGTGAAAAGAAAGTACAGACTAAATATGAAATGAAGGGAGTTGGGCATTTGAATTCCTCGTTATAGAGGGCATTTCCAGCCAATCACAGAAGAGTGGATTATGGTGATTATCTGTGAGACTGGGCCATTTATTCACATGTTTTAGTGATGTATCAGCAAGGAGCTTGGGAACAGCAGGGGGAGAAGATGAGATCAGTAATTGAATGAGAAAACAGGACATCATAGTTCATACTTCAATCCTGAATAATTACTGTGTATTGAGCATTTTATGGTAATGATGTGGAGCTGAACAAGCTGAGATCTATTCAGCATGAGAACTGCAAAATGTATTCACAGGTAACGCGAGAGTAACTTTGAAAAGTCTCGGCCTCATAAACAGCATGTTCATGAATCATACATACTATACAGGTCTGTCTCATCCACAATCTCAGATTTAATGATCTCCTCTATGATGTCCTCCAGGGTGACGATGCCCATCACTTCATAGAAGGGGTCTCCCTCCCCCTCGCTGTTCACCCTCTGCACCACAGCCAGGTGGGATTTACCTGCATTCATCAGAGAAGTAAAGGCATGAGTTGAAGTGTTTCTAGAATGTAGGCTCGTGCTAAAAAAAACTGCTCATGCAATGGGCTGGGAGGCAACGTCACTGGATAAAAATAACACGAGTCTCCAACTGCATCGGTGGAGTCAAAATGAAAATCAGACCCTAAACACAGGAGAGGTCTGTGAGCTCGAATGTGAAATTATTTCAATGTCAGGACTGCCCTGGCGTGTATGGGTACAGGACTTAGATGAGATTTAAATGGGCACCGGGGGATTAGTCTGGAGACATTTTGACAGCTTGGAAAGCTCTGCTCTTACGTAAACACTGAGATTACACAATCAGTCTGGGGATCCTTGCATCTGCTGACTAAACTGCCCATGCTGCTGCCACCTCTGTAAATACACACAACACACACTCAGTTTGCTGATCCATGAGCTGGCCCAGTACATGCCAAGCCTCCCAGATATGACATAGCTCTCCAGTTAACAAAGCAAAATGTGAGAAGTCGATGCTGCCATCAAACTCAAACATCACAAGAAGTCATCATACAGTAACCCTCCCTGTTATGGTTCATCTTAGGCCACGTCAGTTTGGTGACCAAATAAGTTATCTAACCCAATTTACAGTGTCACTAGAACACAACTCTCAAACCGTTTTAGTTTTAGGGGATCACTGCCAAGTGATAAAATAGATCCAATGCTTTAATTCACTCCAACAAGAACAAAAAAAATTTGATTGACACGAAATGGTGGCTTAGGTTGAGATGGCGAAGTTGTACCCCGCGCTCGGGGCAGGCTGTCTGAAGAGCTCAGGTAAGTTAGAGTCGGATTTGCCCTCAGCTGCTGATGTGCCACGGCACTGCATTACATCATTCACGTTACATAATAGTCTTGCAGAACAAAACACACAGGCAGTCACCAGACTCACTGCCGGAGGCAGTAGTGGGTCTACCAGGGATGTCACTTGACAAATGTTTCTGCTCTGCCAGTTTCCAAGGCTCCTCCAGTCTATTTTTGAACCCCATGTGTTGTTTGATGTCCTTCATAATATTTTTATGTATGATTGTGTGTTGTCTGAATATTTGTGTGCTTTCTGTAAACATTACAACCAGTTCTATAGAAGGAAACTCATTTTTACACACATGCAAACAAAATTGATAAACTCATTTTGTTATGGTTTGTGGGCTTGCTTCCTGTTTTGTGCTTTTATTTTGGTTAGACTTCCTGTCCTGTATCATCTCTCCTGCCCTGGTTCCTAATCATCATTCATTGTCTCCACCTGTCGCTCATTATCCCCCTGGTCTTCAGCCTTTATATTCACCTCCCTTCCCTCAGTCTGGTGGCTGGCTCATCTGTTCTCCATGCCTTGTTGCCCCTGTCATCTGTCTCCCTGTGTACCACAACCTGCCTGCCTGCTTGCTTTGTATCAGTCTCCTGTTAGGTTCTTGTCTTGTTATCCTGGGATTGTTCTGAGTCTGTCCTGTTAGCAAGATTCTTGGTTTGTTCTCTGGGTTTGTTTTAGTTGTTATTTAGAGTCGTTTCATGTAGCTCCCTGACCGTTTCTGTTTAGACATTAGTTTTGCTCACAGCCTAACACATTTAGTTTCTAAAAACTATGGCCACTGCCTTCTACAGGTTTAAAATTACCTAAATATTTCTTGCACCACTGATGGAATTCCCCACTAAAGGATTTACAGCAGGTTTTGAACTTCATAAAGAACATAGCCTGCCGTCTGAAGGTTAGTAAATTACTCCTCCACATATTTTCCACTCCACCTGTCACTGTCTCTGACATTACTGGTGACATTTCCATCCTTTCCCCTAACAAAGACCTCACCCCTGCCCATCACCCTTCTCAGTGAGACATCCTCACAGCTTGCAGCCAGGCTTCCTGAACGCCAGGAGCCTTTAAATCCATGACAGAGTAGGAAGGAAGCAAGAGCGGAAGGGAAAGGTTAGAGCTGAATTTTTCATGGGTCACTCTGCGGGCTTGGATGGTGACAATCTGTAGAGTGGAAGAAGCTTCAAAGTCATGGCAAGCTGAAGGCGCACACAAGAAATCTAAAAGTGAAGCCTGACTTTACCTTTCCACCTTATTCATAAATAATACACAGACAGTATGGAAATGCACAACTACAAGGCCAGACCTGAGCCCATGGATCATCAGACACCAGCTATTATCCATAATCCTGGACAACATTAAGCTGTTCACTTCCTTACCTGTAAGTGGCAACCTAATTAGCCCTGATTGGACAACTGCTGCCTCGGACTGACATCTATTGAGCTTTCTTTGCCAGTGACAAAGATTTAGATCTTAATATCCAAAACAGAAATCAATGTAAATACAGTCCTGTAGCCTCGCATATGTCTCCATTTTACCACGTGATGTGCTCAGGAGAGCAGTTTGAACAGTTTGCTTGCTGCAGAGCATCAATTCAGAATCGTATTCAGTGTCTTCACCAAGACTGAATGGGGTCCCTGGTGAGAGACGACACACTTTTGCTCAGTAGTGAACAGATGCTATCACTGTGTATGAAAGACAGAGTGCTGTAACACTGTGAACGCACTTAGCAGCGAAGATACTAATCAAAGCATGTAGATGAGAGAGGGTGATGTTGTTCACTCCCACTTCCATTCAACTCAATGCAAACTAAACTTTCTAAACAGTTCAAGGCTACATTAAATTGTAGCTCTGATAAATGATATACTATATGCAGGAGTGGTTGGAGGCAGATGAAGTTCACAGTCGTGTCATGGGAAAATGACTTTTACAACATAAATTCTTAAGATAGCATAAATTCTTAAGATAACCTCATTCTGGTCCTTGCTAGCCTCTAACCTCTACTTGAACCACACTTACTATGTGACACTATATCAGATTTCACATATGGCTCTCACTGCTCTGGGGTTCAAAGGGCTTTGCAGGCAGGCCCGCGGTGAGCCAATAGACTGACTGTATACACTGACTTGTGCGTTTAAAACGTAGGCTTTAAGTGCACTATAACTTCAAAGGACGTTTAACTCGTATGTCGTAGCCTTGAGACGGTTTCAGACCATATGGCGCCTTAAACACTTAGCGCTGACTCCTTATAGGTTCTGAGGACGTAAAGTGAAGAACCTACCTCTCTTAAATTCCTCCAGCATCACATCCAACTTGGTGTCATTGAACACGCAGTGCACTGGATGTTTGTAAAACTGAGTAATTGTTTTCAGAGGAGTGCAATCGTCCGGATCCACGAAGGCCAAGTCTTTCACAAACAGGATGTTCACGATGTTGGACTTTTCGTTCTGGTAAACTGGGATCCGGGTGAAACCGCTCTGCATCACATCGGACATGGTGCAGAAGTCCAGAACGGCATCCGACGACAGCATGTAGCAGTCTGACAGCGGGGTCAGGACGTCCTCTACGGTCTTGGTCCTCAGCTCCAGGGCTCCCTGGATGATATTGAGCTCCTCTTTGACCAGGTCGTGATAGGGGTCAGTGACGCGCAGCATGGCCACCAACTTCTCCCTGGTGTAAAAGTTACTGATCTCTTGGCGCAGCATGATGTCCAGAATCTTGGAGACTGGATAGGCAATGGGGGAAAACACTAGCATCAGCAGTCGGGTCGCGCAGAGGGTCTTTGAGGCGATGGCGAGGCTGTGCCTGGACGCCACGGAGTGAGGTAAAATCTCACCGATGAAGAATATCCCCAGTGTACAAGAGGCAGTTGAGAGAGCAGTCATTCCTAAGATCTGGCACATCCAAACCACAAAGCATGTATTTGTAAGCACGTTTCCCAGAACCACAGTGCAAAGGATGTAGTTTCCATGTTTGCGCACTGACTCTATTTTCCGTGCGTATTTCTGCTCCTTCTCTGTACCACTGTTCTGCAGGACCCGTAGCTCCACCGGGTCCAGAGCCAGCATACTGATGTTCAGACCGCTGCAGAGCGCAGACAGCGCCAACAGCAGCACAGAAACACTTGCTTGGAGCCAAACATCTGTCTCTTGAGGTCTCGCTACCACCGCCAACCAGAAGTCTTTGGTGCTGAAATGGTCCCATTTCACTCCATCAAACGCGCACATGGAGTAGTATTTAATTACTTCTCCTCTGCGTAGGTCTTTGGCCAACAGCTCCACCAAAACTGAGTTGTAACTTGAGGAGGATCTGAAAGAGCCTAACAGCTCTATGTCAGAGCTCCGGGCGCTCTCTTCTTCGCACGGGTTCCCTCTGGACCAGGGATGCCTCTCCGCGTCTCCGCTGGCCCCATCTGGTTCTTCTATAAATGCGATCCACGGAGCGGCAGGAGCGGCGCCAGGTATGCCGCTGATGTTCAGGTTGTTGGGATGCTCTGTATCTGGAGATGCGGAATAGTAAACCCTCAGAATGAAGCGGGTCCCCTCGGTCGTCCTCAGTATCCCACCCTGCACAGACAGCTGTCCGCTCTGGGTGTCTTCCGGCCGGACGCCGAGCAGCGCTGCAGTCGGGTCCGGCAGAGAGAAGAGGGTGACGGAGAGAAAGAGGAGAGAGAGACGGCGCGGGTGCAGGATCCAGCACACAGCATCCGCAGCCATCATGCTGAATGAAGTAGTGAAGGACGTGTGAGAGCTGGGTCACGTGGATTATATGGGATGGATGGAGCGGCTGGGTGGCCATATCCATGCAAAATGAGGATGAGTATGTTACAGAGAGAGGGAGAAGGGGGGGGCACCAAAGTCCTTAAATATACATGACCACCGTGACGTAGCCCTGTCTTATTTGCTTTCTGCCACTTTCTAAAAATAGAAGGCAGGAAATGATACACCCGGATCAAACAGCACTTACAACTATATCAATGGCCTTATAAACAATTTTTTTTACTATATAAGAAAAAAATCAATAATTAATATAGAAGCTGAGCACAAACATATTTTAGGCCGAACTGTAAGAAACAAGGTCTTCATTGTGTTGGCATCAGATTTTGAGTCGCACATCTTTTTTAAACCTGCTTTGAAGTGTCCACTAGATGGCAGCACTATCACCGGTTTCACTGCAGGTTACATGGAGCGGACTTCAACTTAAAACACGGGATAATGAGTGTGGATTTATATCCTCGCCATAATATTTTGTCAGAATTTACGCCCTGTAAGAAATAAAATAACTTATAACAAATGTTAGAAAAATACATTTCGGTCCTGATTTAAAATGGGCCATCACATAAAACATTTTTTTCACCCGGGATATATTATCCATAACGACCTATTAATATGATCACCATATATGAGGCATGAAATTAAACGAGTTCAGTAAAACTGAACTGATCCAAGAAAATCCCATCAGGAAATAGATTATTATTATTATTATTATTGTTTAACAGTGGATCCTTCAAACAGCCGAGTTCGATGACCACAGATTTACGAGGTATGAAACTGAAGGTGAGAACAGTCTATTAAACACTTCAGTGCTCCCTCTGCTTTCCATCAGCCACACATCCACGATAACTTTCGGGGAAGTTGCACACAATAACAAAATCTGAGTTCCAAGAACCACGAGTTTTAAGAAGGATTAGCCTAATTGAATTTCGTCTTGCCTGCACTTTCCATCGGAAGATAAAACGAGAAGCCCATCGACGAACCATCACATCAGAGTCATCAGATTTAACATTTCTGACCTTCCCTTCGGACAGAATCCTACGTTCTAATGACTTCGTTTGGCAGCCCCATATCTTTGCAAATCTAACTTGTAAAAATTAAAAAAAAAAGTCAAATTGAGATTTTTTTTTCCCTTAGGAGGTAAAATCTCTCCTTCCCCTCATTTTAAATATTATTTCCATATATAAACTTTGTCAGTGGTAATAATAATAACTGAAAAGTCAGCAAGTAGCCAAATAAAACTTAGAGAAAGGTAGTAATTAACGAAAACTTACTGGTGACGCTCTACAGCGTGCGTCTGGCTAAACCCATTTCCCTTTAAGGAGTTTAAAAAAAACTCTTTAGGATGATCTAAGGAGTCGCTTAAATTATATATTGGCTGTAAGGTCACCTTCTCCTCCTGCGCCTCGATCAGGTTCAGTCATAGCGTGTTATTACACTACAATGTCTATTATACAATAACGTAACATAAAAGCAAAACAAAATAAATACATGCTCAATTTAATAAACACTGATCATCTTTTGCTAAACGAAATGTTTTGAAGTTCACGCACAATAGCAGCTGTTGCGCATGCACACTGCATGTCCCTCGATATTACTGCTCCACGTCCTTCAAACGATTCAACTTAAGCGGCTGTGCTTCTTCGAACAACTGATTAGTTTTTCTCCCTGAACATTAAGATTTTTCAGCAATGACATAACTGTATTCAAAGTGAGCTTTGGAATAAAGTAATTCCCTGAAATATATCCTAAAGTTGTGCGTTTAAAATTGCGGGTCTATTCTCAGTATATTCTTTATTTTCAGGAAGTTCATCAGGGCTGCCGAGTGAGTTATACTGCTGGTTAAATTTAGTTTTCATCTCAACCTCAGCTCTGCAAAAACAATTTGAAAACTTTCACTTCAGCTGTCCATCCTGCTGTCGGTCACTAAAAGAAGTGCTCCTTATAAAGCGGGTGCAATATAAAAATATAGGCCTTCAAGAGTAGATAGAGATGATCTAAATGGATTAAATCGCCATAATCGCACCACACGCATGTGCACTATTTTCCTTTTAAAACACTATATTTAGTTGATTTGATTTGATTTGATTTATTCTTTCAAGCATGTAAAGACAGTTGATATGTCAACACACATAATTTTACACATATCCAACAAATGCTAATCCAATATCAATTTGCTTATACCTAGTACATGCTTGAATGGAGTAGGAAGAAGTCAGACTTATCCAGTCCTACCCCATGACATCATCTTACATCATTGGTTTGCAAGCAGTATCTCTACATAGATAATTCTCTTCTACACCACACAAGTAACATACTAAAGAATTATTACAAAGTGTTAACATTCATACACCACACCCACAATGTTCCATCTAATTAATCATTAAGCCTGTTCTTGCATATATCTTGATTGACACATACCTTTATATTTATGTTTAAACTCATCAATTCTATTACTATT